GTTGGTTGGTTGGTTATCACTCTCCCCAGAAACAGGTCCATAGTGGTTCGCTTGTTTCTGTTTTCTATCATAATTCTGTTATATTTTGGTTCTTAAATGTCTCCCAAAAATTCATGTGTTAAAGGATTAATCCAGCCTGGGGAGATAGCTCAGAATAAGCGTCTGCCTGGCAAACACAGGGTCCTGAGTTCAATCCCTGGTACAGCAAAAAAAAATAAAAATAAAAAAATAAAAAATAAATAAAAATAAAAAAATAACTTAAAGGATTAATATCCAAAGCATCCCTCTTCAGAGATGGGGCCTTTGGGAGGTAACTGGGTCATGAAGGCTCTGATCTCATTAATGGAATTAATCCATTGATAGATTCATCACTTTATGGGCTTTTGAGAGGTGGTAGAAATTTTAGAAGTAGCGCCTAGTTGGAAGAAGTAATTTATTGGGGGCATGCCCTTAATAATGCCTTAAAGGTATATTTTGTCCCAGGTCCCTTTTTCTCCTTTCTCCTTCTTACTCTCTTCCTCCTCCTTTCTCTCTCTACCTTCACCCTTATCCCCACCACCATAAGGTGAGCAGCTTTGCTCTACATGCTTCCTACCATGACGTTCTACCTCGCCACAGGCCAAAGCAATGCAGCCAAATGACCACGGATTGAAACCATAAGCCAAGCCAAGCACAGTGGTACACGCCTATAACCCCAGCATTCATGCAGCAGAGGTAGAGGGATCACCACAAGTTTGAGGCCAGCCTGGGCTACATAGTGAGTTCAAGGCCAACCTGAACTACATAGTAAAACCTGGTTGAGGAAAAAAAAAAAAAAAGAGAAAGAGAAATCATAAGGCAAAATACATCTTTCTTTCTCTAGTTTGATGTCTCTCAGTTATTCTGTCAAAGTGTCAGTAAGCTGATTAATACAAACTCACTTATAAGTAGGTAAAACTAAAAAATCCTAAATTCAATCCAAATAGTACTGTACATTTCAAAATTAGGTTGATGAGGGGCCAGGGAGATGGTTCAGTAGAATAAGCACTTGCCTGGCAAGTGCAAGGGCCTGAGTTCAATCCCTGGTCCCAGAAAAAAAAAAAAAAAAAAAAATAGGTTGATGAAAAAAGGATGCCATTGTATAAACAACTGAAACATTAAAAATCATATATACATATACACACCCCCAAAGCAATGTCTTAAAATCATTTTCTACTGATAAAAAGACAAAGTACCTCCAGGGCTAGAGCTATACTTCAGTGACAAAGAACTTGTCTAACATATGAAACCCCAGGCTTAAACTCTAGCACTGCAAAAGGGGAGGGGTATCTAAATTAGCCATAGGTAAAATAAATAAATAAATGAAAACATTAACATGAAGTGCGAACACATACTTCTTTTTTTTTTTTTTTTTTTTGGGGGGGGGGGACCGAGGATTGAACTCAGGCCCTTGTGCTTGCCAGGCAAGCACTTATTCTACTGAGCCATCTCCCCAGCCCCCAAACACATACTTCTTAGGCAAGTAATTATACAGGAAAAGCATGTAATAGAGAAAATTTAACTTCTAGTACATGTACCCACTCCCAACAATGAATATAAAATCATTATGTATTATAAACATTATCTAATAAAAATTATTTTAATTTAAAAAAAATTTTTTTTAAACTTCAACTTCTAGTTGCATCCATTTACCTCTGAAAACCTAAAGTCTATAAGTGAAATAAATCAGACTTATATGGATAAACATCATATTGTCTCCCTAGTGTAAAAAACTAAGAGTTGGGGGCCTGCACCTTAGCTCAGTTCTTTAAGTAGCTGCTTCAACAAAGCAATCAGGCTCAGGTTGCTGTAGTTCAATCCCCACAACTCAAGCCAGCCAAACCTGCCCTGAAGGCATTTGGAGCAAAACAAAACAAAACAAAACAAAAACAAAAACTAAGAGTAAAGATTCAAAATACACAATAGATACTGTGAAAGAGAAAGAAACTGCTCAAAAGGAAAGAACAATGGGGATGGGGATAAGGAGAGAAAATAAGGGAAAAAAGAACTACACATAACACACAACACACACACACACACAATAGCAAACATTAGGATACTACTAATTTCTATTAGTTCATTGAAAGAACAGTTTGTGCTACATTGTTTGATCAATTCTGCATACCTAAGAGCCAGGAATATAGCTCAGGGGCATAATGCAAGGTCCTGAGTTCAAGTACCAGAAAAAAAAAAAAATTTGCATACCTATATCTTATAATCTGAGCAACTCCTTTGAAGATAACAATATGCAATATATTAACCACTGTTAATTTCCTACTGGTGTCACTCAATAGTACAGTATGTTCTTTTTTTTTTAATTTTTTTTTAATTTTAACATTTAGTGTGTGTGTGTGTGTGTGTGTGTGTGTGCGCACACGCGTGTGTATGTGTGTGGCCAGCTCAGCCCACCAGGGGGCGGGGCTGGCTGGCATGTGGTGCTGGAGGATTGAACCTCGGTCCCTGTGCTTTGCCAAGCTTGTTCCAAGTAGGTGCCTTAGACCACTGAGCCATCTCTCCAGCCCCAGTATGTTCTTAATACGGGTGACTCTCTGGATTTAATTCCCAGCACCCAAAAAATAAGCAAAGTTGAAGAAAAAGCTGGGGATGTACCTCAGTGGTAGAGAGCTGCCTAGCATGCTTGAGGCTCTGAATTTAATTCCCAGTACAGGAAGGGGAGGGGAGGAAAACAGAAGGGAAAGAAAGAGAAAGGGAGAAAAGGGAACAAACAAGCTGGAAGACAACTGGTTCCCCAAAGGGCCTACTGAGCCACACTCCACTTCAGCCCAAGTCATACACAGTGTGTGTGTGTCAAAGGGGAAGAGTGTGTTAATTTGGAACATGTGTCATTGATGGAATGAACTGACATCATCCATCTACTCTTGGGATATTATGGTCCTTGTCAACATGGGAGAAGTTACTGGGAAACAGAGGCAAGAGATATGTAAATTAAGTCGTCAAGGGAGCCTGGTTGAAAAGCAAGGGTAAACCAACTTATTCCTATTTTAGAAAACAGTTTGGAAATCACCATTTCCATGTAGTAACTGGTATTACTGTTTAGATGTTCTGTGTTCATCTGCATGTTTAACAAATTTATGTTGGGAAGAACTAGGACACAGTACAGCATCTCCTGGGTAACTGGGCTCAAAACCTCAAGTC